TTTGGTATGATGAGGAGAGGGAAAACCCACAAGAACAATTTGTCAAGCAACTTTGTTTCCTAGATGTCCAGCAGTTCAGGAGGGCACTCCTTACATTTCACATCTCACAAAACAGGAACTACTTATTTCATAGGAATTGCTCGGATAGAGTTATTGTAGTTTGCAGTACAGATGAGTGTCCTTTTTTCATTGCTGCTTCCAAAATTGCACATGAAAAGACATTTTGCATGAAGAAAATGAGCTTGTACCACAACTGTCCTGCTGTTGGAGAGAGCATCAAAGTGACTGCAAGATGGTTGGCACATGGGTGTGAGCAACAGTTAAGGTCTGACATAAACACACCAGTCCAGGCAATAATTGACAATTTGAAGAAAAAACATGGAATTGAAGTGTCCATTCACATGGCCTACAGGGCAAGGAAAGCAGCTAAGGAAGTTGTCCAAGGAGATCAGAGGGCACAATACACTAGGATAAGGGATTACCTCCAAGTTGTGTTGGATACCAATCCTGGAAGTAGGTGCATTGTCACAACAAATCATTTAAAGCTTCATCCTAGCAAAAACCCTAGATTTCATGGCTTGTTCATGTGCCTTAATGCTTGCAAAGAGGGCTTCCTAAATGGTAGTAGACCCTTCATAGGTACTTGCATAATTATTTTCCCAAAATATTTGCCATTGCATTTGTTTATGTTTGGTGTTAATGTGTTATGTTTGGTTGTAGGTGTTGATGGTTGCTTTGTTAAGTTGACAACAGGGCAAAAAATATTGGTGGCAACTGGAAGATATGGTAATAACAACATCTTTCCCATTGCATTTGCTATTGTTGACAAGGAAGACACTGCTAGCTGGTCCTGGTTTCTAACCCAGCTCAAGTATGCTCTTGGTGGTGAGTCAGAGAAGTATGGAAACTACACTATCATATCTGATAGACAAAAGGTACCTCATATATCATCATTTTATTTTTTACTGAAGTTTTACCATGCTTAGTACTGTCAAATAGTGTGTTGTTATACTATATTTGGAACACTAGTTATTTAAACAGGGCCTTCTTAAAGCCATAAACAATGTCTTCCCAAATTTCCCTCAAAGATACTGCCTTAGACATATTTATCAGAACTTTCAAACACCCGGCTTTAGAGGTGAAGAGTTAAAGAAGTATATGGATCAGGCTAGTTATTCATATATTGACATGGTTTTGATCAAGCAATGGAAGGCATGAAAAGAGAGTGTGAGGCAGCTTGGAAATGGCTTAGAAAGATACCCTAGCATACATGGGCTAGACATGCCATGGACAAGAATTGTAAAACTGATTTGGTTGTTAACAATATTAGTGAAGTGTTCAACAAAATGATACTTGATGTGAGAGGGAAACCAATGAAAACCATGGTTGATGGCATCAGAACTAAATTGCTAGTTAAGTTCAATGCCAATAGGACCAAGACTGAGACAGCCAAGTGGTAGATATGCCCAACATATGCTGAGAAGCTAGAAGAAGCAAAGCACCATGCTAGATATTGTCGGTCCATCAAAGCAGGACCCGATCTATACCAGGTTAGCAGTGGAGAAAGCACATATGCAGTAAATCTGCAAGTGCACACATGTGGGTGTAGCAAATGAGACATGACTTGTGTTCCTTGCAAGCATGGTGTTTCTGCAATTAACAAGGCAAAACTTCATCCAAAAAATTTTGTTAGTGATTTCTTCAAGAAACCAATGTACCAAGCAACCTACAATCCAATTGTGTATCCTGTGCCTAGGCATGATCTATGGCCAAATACTGGGACCCCTGACATAGAGCCACTAGTTTTCAGAGACAAACCAGGAAAGAAGCAGACTAAGAGGAGAAAGAATCAGTTTGAGAAGCCAGCTCCCAAAGATACTTCAAGGATGGCAATATTAACCTGTAGGAATTGCAACTTGACAGGGCATAGGTACACTAGCTGCCACAAAAATCTGAAGCCAGCCCTAGCAATGAGAAGGAACCAACACCAGGTTAAATCTTGTGTATATATGTTGTCACTGCAGGTTAAATCCTGTGTCTATTTAATAGTTAATACTATGTTCTAATTTGTCTATATGTTGTCACTGCAGGAAAACAGGAGAGTTGATGCACCAATGACAGCTCCATCTGCTCCACCAGCAGCAAGGGCAAGAGCTCCTGCTGCAACCAGTGCAACACCAAGGACAGCTCCATCAGCTCCAGCTGCAACTAGGGCTGCAACTAGGGCAGCACCTTCTGCTCCTGCTCCAACAAGGCCAAGTTCATCTTTTGCTGCTGCTGATAGGCCTAGTTCATCTTCTGCTACTGCTTCTAGGTCAAGGGCAAAGAAAACATTCATACCACCAAGACTGTCAGGTACTGGAAGAGTGAGAAGGCCATCATACAAGATGTCTGAATGGTTCAATTGTTCTCAAGGCAGCAAGAAGTGATGTCATGTTGAAACATGTTTAATTCAGCCTGTTTTGGCTAGTTTGTGATGAAGAATATTAAGAATTTCATGTTGAAACCAGTTAGTTCAAGTCCAAGTGGTGGACTATGTAATGTACCTAATGGTTGTGATGCACTATGGTACTCTGGTTATGATGATATGATGATGAACTTATTAGTTTTGATATTTTTAAGAAGTTTTCATTCTGTTGTTGTGATGATGATCATAGTTTCATAGTTGATATGATGATGATCTCAGTTTTCATGGTGTTGATATGTTGGTGATCATAGTTTTGTTGATATGATGTTGATCATAGTCGACAAAACCCAAAATGGCTCCACTTGGGCATTTTGGGTGCCTCGGCATCGACAAAACCCAAAATGGGTCCACTTGGGCATTTTGGGTGCCTCGGCGTCGACAAAACCAAAAAATGGCTCCACTTGGGCATTTATGGTGCGTCGGCGTCGACAAAACTCAAAATGGGTCCACTTGGCATTTTGGGTGCATTTTGGGTGCCTCGGCGTCGACAAATCCCAAAATGGCTCCACTTGGGCATTTAGGGTGCCTCAGCATCGACAAAACCCAAAATGGCCCCACTTGGCCATTTAGGGTGCCTTGGCCATTTACTAACATATTGATTTTAGAAATCCAAAAAAAATTACACAAAAATAGTTTGGCCTGGGCCTCGAACCCAGGACCAGTGGGTAGTAACCATGGGTTCAATACCAATGGGATAGTGCTAGTGATCTTGTTTGAGTAGCATCCGCAATTTTACTTATATTTAGTTAGACAGGCACTGTGCTGAGAGTGCGTTGAGGCCGACAGCGTGGTGAACGTGCGTTTAGTATAACTCGTCATTTCGGTTTCTCAGCCTTTAGTATGTGTCCACCCATCGCTCTCTCCGATCACTCGCCCACTTGCCGCCCGCACCGCGCACTCCTCTTCCCCCTCTCTCCTATCAAAACCACCGCTGACAGCCACCCCCACCACCGTCGCCATGGACTGGCAGCTGGCCATCGAAGAGCTCGCTGGCAACAACCAGGAGCTGCGCGCGCAGTACAGGGAGATTGTGTGCTGGTTCCCCAATCTGGCGATGCTGAGGAACCATGCCCGCAGCCTCATGAAGGTGATGACACCTGCCGAAAGGCAGTGTGCATTCCCTGTCGGCCGCACCGTCCCGCCGACGACCATTCTCCTTCGGGCGATACGCGACATGTAGCGCTCCCCCGACCCTAGGCTGCGCGCCCGTTGGTGGATGTATCGCTCATCCACCACGCCGCCGGCCGCCGCGAATGACATCACCGACGCCGTCCTCGCTCTCCCAGCCCCCATCAACAACGCCTATTGGGAGAGGCGCAATCCATGGGTGCTCGGGACAGACGACGACTCTGACGCCGAGTCCGAGTCCTCTAACGACTACTACTCTGACGAATCTAATGGCTACTCCTCTAACGACGAGGTGGACGAGGTCGTCGTACTCTCCTCCTCCTCCTCCTCCGATGAGCCTGATGTGCAGCTCCTGGCGCCCGTCCTCGACGCCGTGGAGGGGTAGAAGAACAACCCAATTGATGTGGATAAGCTGCCGGAGGTCGCCTACAACCAAGAGCTCGTCGTCGTGAAGCAAGAAGAGGAGGGCGGCGGTGAAGATGTGGTGGAGCCAACGCTGGCCAAGAAGAAGAGGGCGGCGGTGAACAACGATGACGTGCGGCGCTCCCAACGCCTGAAGATGCTGAAGAAGGAGGAGTGACATGTTGTCTTCAGTTTTGTCATTAGAAGAAAAAGTTCAGTTTCGTCAGTATGTTAGTATGCCAGTTCTATCTATGTCAGTTCTATCTATGTCAGGCTATCTATGCAGGTACTATCTATGTATGCCAACAGTATGAACTTGCTATCTATGTTCACTATCTACTTGCTATAATCCAAGCTGATAATTCATCACAAATTGAACTTAATCCAAGCTGATAATTCATCACAAACAGAGTACTCTCACAAACGACATACAATCCAAGGTTCATTGCTACAGAAATAATAGAGTTCACCACAATAAAGCTTAACACATTACAAGCTTTCCTCCATAGCTACTACAAAAGACGTCATTGACACACATGGTCAGACAACAACACAACTTAGTCCTCATCACAAATAGCCTTAATCTGGTGAAGCTTTCTCTTGTTGCTATCACCTGCTGTCTTGAGCTCAACAATGCAGGAAGCAAGAGTACTCTTCTCCATGGTCAACTTCTCCTTCACTTTCATCAGCTCAGCAATGCGACAATCCAGCTTATCCTTCTCTTTCTTCAGGTCATCCTTCTCTTTCTTCAGGCCAGCATAGCAAATGTCCAAAGTCCTCTTATCAGAGCTCAACTTTTCCTTCTCTTTAAGATGGTTGAACTTCAAATTCCTAGTGACAGTGGCTTGAGCTACATGAATTTGCTTTAACTGGTCAACAACAACCTTCAATTTTTTGATCTCAACATCCTTTTTCATGCTGCTTTCCACACTCACTGAAATGCTCTCAGCATCATTCTTCTGGTTTACCTCAGGCTGACTATCCTTATAATCCAATAGGTTGTTCACATCTTCAACAAGCTTCTCATATGTCTCCTGCAACTCTTTTTCTGCTGTGTGAGATTGTGTACAGTGCTTGAATGCTCCAGGCATGCCATCTTGTTATCATGCTGGCTATGCTCATACATAAGCCACATCTTATGAATAGCATTCTGTAGATGCTCTGGCCAATGCTCATCTACCCACTGCACTAATCCACAATTTGCAACACCCTACAATAGAGAAAATCAGTTCAAAATTATAGACATTACTTACAGATTCAGTTAAATAGCTGATTCAGTTAATGTACCAGAATCAGATTCATTTAATGATGAATAATTATGAAAACTACAACTAAGAACAGTACCTATGAATCCTAGAACTAAATTCAGTAACTATGAACCGTAGAACATGAGCAGTGACTATGAACCCTAGAACATGAACAATATCTATGAACCCTAGAACATGAACAATATCTATGAACCCTAGAACATGAACAGTAACTACAAACCCTAGAACAAGAATTGGAATGCTGCAAACATAACTTGAAACTTACTTCAGTGGCACAGGCAATGAACCTCCTACCAGTGCTTATCCCCTCAAATGCAACATATTTCCTCCCTGGATTCCCATGCTCACAAATCACATTCAAGTCGTCAGCAAGACCCTCGAACGACGGCTCATCAATTATAGCTGGGATCTGAGAAATCCAACAAAAACTTGTTCAAATCAAGCAAATGTTGAACCCTAGAAACCCTAGAACACAAATGAGCAATAGAAGGTTTTGACCTTGAGAGGGGAGTCGTCGGAGGAGATGTACTGCGCGGTGGAGCCCTCAGTGCTCTCACTGTCGCTCCAGGACACCATGGCGGCCGACGGCTGGCGGTTACCGGAGAGGAGAGGAGCAAATGGGAGGGGAGCGAGCGAGCGTGGGAGCAGAGAGAGCGAGCGTGAGACCAGAGAGAGAGAGAGAGAGCGAGATGTGGTCGGGCGCAGGCGGTCTGTCTCTGGCGACCCGACCGCGTCTGTCTTAAGCAAACGGCACCATCCGCGTGTCCGTTAGGCCACGTCAGAGATTTTGGGCCCCACCTGTCGGAAACGCCCTCAACCGTGCCAAATGACATGTTCAGTGCAATCTGCAAAACGTTTACTGAATCCGCGGTGGCTTTTGCAAATGATTAGCGACCAGGTTGTTTTCTGCAAGAGAAGCCCCAAATATGGTGGTTTCTTGCAATTCACTCGTTTGTATGCTTAGTATTTATGGAGCTTTAGTGCCGAGCTTCGGTTTGTACACCATCTTAGGTTGCTACAACGTTTTAATTGCATCACGAATAGAATACCCTACACATTCTCATTCGTAAGAATTTGTAATGATTTAATGGGCTGGACAAACATGTTGTTTTGAAGCATTCAACTCACTAATAATCACATTTTCTCGAAAATGCACTAATAATCAGATAAAACATTACACTATCCATAGAGCTTTCACGTGATGATTTAGAACCCTATATCATCTCAGCATTTGCATGGCTATAACAATTTCATTCGGAAGAAACTATGATGGGTGAGATACTTATGTAACCCATCTATTTTTCTCACATACCATTGTGCACATTCGTACGCGTTGAAAACAATATGAAGACCTTCAAACACTTGAGTCCTGAACAAGTTTTCAATTCACACAAAAAAACATAGAGATTGAGTGTAGACTTGTCAGATGATAATATAATATAGCAGAGCAATGTTATGGATAATTGGTTTTCTTATACCGAACATGTTTCTTCAATTTTTGGTTAAATAAAAAACTAGCAACGAAATTCGTGCCGCACAGGTTTACTATTACACGACACACCTAGCAGTTTTCAGGTGGGCAACTTTGTTTCACAATTGTGCAAGTACCATGTCCCATATTTGAGCGCTCAATTGGATAAGATATAATCTCAAAGAATCAAAAAACATAGATGGTAGATCTGAAAATAGAGATCAAACAGAAGCCACTACCGAATAGTAACACATGCTTCCCTTTTCTTAAAAATCACGTGGCATGCACATTGACAACAATCCATAGTAACTTGCTGGAGCTTCCTAACTATTGAAATCCACTGGATGATGAGAATCTCGATTATAGTTAAATAAAAGAAACATAAACACTTTAGTCTACAATTGTTCTTGCACATGCGAGCTTGTAAAGCTTTGGTGGCTAGGGCATTTATATCTATCTATCTATCTATCTATCTATCTATCTATCTATCTATCTATCTATTGTGGACGGGACAAAGGATGAGCAAATCCACCTTAGGTGGTGCTGCGTGTGATCTCTGTTTATATAGGGCAGGTACAGAGGGAGCGCCGAGCGCTTAGCGAGGGCGCGCGGTCGATCGTGGTGATTGTGTACAGGGGCATGCAAGTGCATGCAGGACGTGGGCGAGCGGGGGTTCTATCTATACAACTAACACCCCGGCGCAGTTGAAGCATCCGGCGGACGGATGCATAAACTAGAACGAAAATCTTGGAACGCCGTAGTTGGGAGCCCCTTGGTGAGCACGTCTGCGAACTGCTGCTGGGTTGGCACATGGAGCACGCGGAGCTTGCCGAGCGCCACTTGCTCGCGGACGAAGTGGATATCCAGCTCTGTGTGCTTCGTCCTCCGATGGTGAACTGGGTTGGCAGACATGTACACCGAGGAGATGTTGTCGCAGAACACCACGCTCGCTTTGGGCATGGGAATGGAGAGCTCTGCCAAGAGTTGTCGAAGCGAGCAGCATTCTGCAACAGCGTTGGCGACAACGCGGTACTCCGCCTCCGCGCTCGAGCGGGACACGGTGGCCTGGCGTTTTGAGGACCAGGAGACGAGGGAGTCGCCGAGGTACACGGCGTAGCCGGACGTCGAGCGGCGTGTGTCAGGGCAGCCGGCCCAGTCCGCGTCGGAGTAGGCCACCAGGTCGAGTGATGGCGCGCGCTAGAGATGGAGACCATGAGACGTGGTGCCCCGCAGGTAGCTCAACACCCGTTTGGCGAGGGCGAGGTGCGGTGCGCGCGGATCGTGCATGACCAGACAACATTGCTGCACCGCATAAGCAATGTCAGGGCGCGTCATGCACATGTACTGGAGTGCACCCACGATGCTGCGGTACTCGGTCGGGTCCGGAACGGGTGCGCCGTCGACAGCAGAGAGCTTGCCGTGCGTGTCAACAGGCGTGGGCAGCGGCTCGAGTAGTTCCTCAGCGTACTTCTGTTGGGAGAGGAAGAAGCCTGTTCCGTGCGGGTGACGGCGATCCCGAGGAAGTAGTGGAGGGGGCCGAGGTCCTTCATGGAGAACTCGCCGGAGAGCTGACGCTGCAGGTGTTGAAGGAGAGCCGTCTATGAGGCCGTGAGGACGATGTCGTCGACGTAGAGAAGGAGGTAGGCGTCGCCCACGCTGCAGTGGAGCACGAACAGCGAGGGATCCGCGCGTGAGCTGACGAAGCCGAGCTGGTGTGCGAAGGCCGCGAACCGGGTGAACCACGTGCGCGGCGCCTGTTTGAGGCCGTACAACGACTTGTCGAGGAGGCACACGTGCTCGGGGTGGTGCGCGTCGACGAAACCTACAGGTTGTTGACAGTAGACGCGCTCGGCGAGACGCCCGTGGAGGAAGGCGTTGTTGACGTCCATTTGATGGACCGGCCAGTTGCGCGTGGCAGCAATGGTGAGGACGACGTGGATCGTGGCGGCCTTCACGACGGGAGAGAACGTCTCGTCGAAGTCCACGCCAAGGCGCTGGGAAAACGCGCGCAGGACCCAACGTGCTTTGTACCGTTCGAGCGACCCGTCTACCTTGAACTTGTGGCGAAACAGACATTTGCCAGTGACGACGTTGACGCCGGGTGGCCGTGGTACGAGCCGCCAGGTTGCGTTCTCCATCAGCGCCCGGTACTCCAGCTGCATAGCAGACAACCAACATGGATCTTGCAAAGCAGAACGCATCGATCGGGGTATGGGTGAGATGGCGGTGTCGGTGACTGTGGCAGTGAGACCATCGGCATACTTGGGGTTGGGCAGGAACTTGCCAGCCTAAGAACGCGTAGTCATGGTGTGGGTTGGGATGGGCGCGGCACGGCGACGTGGACGCGGCGGCGCGGGTGGCGGTGGAGGGGTGCTGCTGGAAGCAATGGTGGGTGCGCTGCTGGATGCAGCGGGAGGGGTGGCCGGATCGGCTGTTGGTGTGGGCGTTGATGGCGAGGGGGGCGCGAGCGGAGTGGTGTTGGCGGGAGGGGAGCGATCGACCACCGCATCTGCATGGTGGTCTAGAGCAGTGGCTGGCCGTGCCCGCGCAGTGTGGGGCCGCCGGGGGACGAATGGGAGCACGAGCTCGTCGTCGAGGGAGGGAGTTGGATCGGGTGGCGATGTACTGGAGTGATCGCGGAAGGGAAAATGATGCTCGTCGAAGATGACATGACGGGAGATGATCACTCGCTCAGTTGCGGGGTTGAGACATCTATATCCCTTGTGATCAGTGGCATAGCCTAGGAGAACGCATGGCGCCGAGCGCGGGGCGAGCTTGTGAGGGGTTGTGGCTGTGAGGTTGGGGAAGCATAGACACCCGAAAACTCGCATGGCTGTGTAGTCGGGGTGAGCACCGTACAGCAGGAAGAACGGTGTCTGGTCATGGCGAGGCCGGCACGGCCGTCTGTTGAGCAGAAAAGTGGAGGTTTGTAGTACTTCTGCCCAGTAGGAGAACGACATATGGGCATGGGTTAGTAGTGTTCGGGCTATGTCATTGAGTGTACGGAGCGCGCGTTCGGCGCGCCCGTTCTGCGGAGATGTGTACGAGCACGACATACGTAGGGTAATGCCGAGCGAGGCAAAAAGGGCACGTGATGAAGCATTGTCGAACTCTCTACCGTTGTCCGTTTGGATCGTGAGGACAGGGAGATTGAAGTGGTTTTTGACGAAAGCGATGAAAGTACGTATAGCAGGGAAAACTTCTGATTTGTGGCAAAGGGGAAATGTCCATGCAAAATGACTGTAGTCGTCGAGCAACAATAGATAGTATTGACAACCAGATTTGCTAGGTACGGGGGAGGTCCAAACATCACTGTGTACAAGCTGAAACGGAAAGTAAGATACATGCGATGATGAATTGAAAGGTAGTCTAGTGCTTTTTCCGAGCTGACACGCCTGACACACGCCAGTGGTGCTGGGTTCAGGGGTGATGATGGAGGGGCGCAGGGTCCGGTCGAGGGAGTCGACGGCGGGATGACCTAGGCGTTGGTGCCATAGATCACGCGAGACCGCGGTGAGCGCGTGGTGAGCATGGGACGGTGGCGTGTACGGCATGGGGTAGAGCTCCTCGCCGGCATCATTACAGCGGAGGATCACCTTCCTCATTCTTCGATCCTTGAAAGAGAAGCCAAGATCATCAAACTCCACATTAATTGGGTTATCGCGAGCGAGAGCCTTAACAGAGAGTAGGTTTTTGATGAGATGGGGAGAGACAAGGATGTTATTGAGGTGGAGCGAGGAGGTGGATGTAGGGATGGTGGTGTGACCGGTGTGCGTTACTGCAAGCGACGATCTGTCGCCGACTACTATGCGATGAGAGTAGCAAGGATGGGCGGATGAGAGAATACCTGACGACGACGCCATGTGTGATGAAGCACCCGTGTCCAGGTACCAGTCGGTGCTCGGGGGAGACGGCTGCTGCTGCTGCACGATCATGTTGTTGAGCGCGGCGATGAGGGCGTTCTGGTCCCACGCCGAGGTTGAGGACGAAGGCGGGGGAGCAGGCGCGGGCGCGGTGTTGTAGAGTGGGTATGGGGGCACTGCAGGGTACCATGCAGTGGGCGGGGCAGTGTTGTGGGTGCCGAGCGCGGTCGCGTGGTGCGTGG